AAGATTTGGTTGCGATGACCTTGTCTTTTCCCGTTCTTCAAGTTTTCTTCGATCGTTTCTTTTCCCTCTCTTTGGGATAAATAACGTTTGGTGACGACTCTTCTATTTTTGCGCCAGGTGTTTTTCGCAGTTGCGACAGACCTGTTATGTACTTTATATTAAAAGAAGAACCTGTCATAACGTTGTGTTAAAAATGCAGAACTTATAGGTCATAATGTTTATGGACCTGTTATGTACTTTATGTTAAAAGCAAAACCTGTCATAATGTTGTGTTAAAGATGCATAACTTATAAGTCATTATGTGTTATAAAAACACTTAGACAGGTCTATAATAGACTAAGTTAACATAAAAACAGAACAGACCAAATAGAACTTATAGGTCACTGTGTGTTAAAATTAACATAATCTTTAATAGACCAAATATTGCATTCATGTAAAAATAACAGAATCTTTAACAGAATCATTGTGTGATACATGAAAAAAATAATATTTTCAAAAAGTAAAATTAACAGAATCTTTAACACTTATATTGCATTCATGTTAAACTGATACAATCCAACTATTACATTCATGTTAAACTGATACAATCTAAAAGTTACAATCTTTAACAGAACTTAAAGCTAATTCTTACAAACAAAAGTTAAGATAATTCTTACAAACAAACCATAACATACTACTTTCAAACAAACCTTAATACCCCAACTCATTCTAACAACTAATACAATGATAATCATCACAAATATCAAATTCAAAATCTTTTTCCACTTCATGATATTCTTCATTTCACTTTCAAGTTTCATCAACTTTTTCCCTAATTCTTCATTCTCCATTGTCACTTTTTCAATGTGTTTTTTTACTTCAGCAAGTCTCTTAGTTACCATGCCCAGCCTATGCATCCAAAATTGCTCCTTCTCATCACCCACCTCCTCATAAAATCAACCAAAGAAATCACACCCAGCTTGCACACCTCCTAAAGTTTTCATTGTTTAGAGGTTACCTACAAATTGAAACTTAAACAAAATTTATTAACAAATTCAAAAACATTGTATACCTTATAATTTGGACAACTCCAAAATTTTTTTCCCCATATTCTTAATAGTAGTTGCCATTTGAAAAACAACCATGTCTCCATAATGGCATATGAGCTTCCATCGTGACCTACTACAAACATCCGAATCTCCAATTTCCTGTTTCAACATGGAGGACGAACAACCAGATTTCATGTTTGTCAAAAACAAAAACCCTAGGTTTAATTTTGGGATTTGGGATTAAGAGGAAGAAGAACAAAAAAAAAACTCTTACACTATGGGAATGGGAAGGAGGAAGGAGAACGAAACAACATGATGAAGGTAACTTGCCAAGTCATCTGCCACTAGGGCTGACAATGAACTGAACCAACTCGAAAATAGTTCGGAATTCGGTTCGACAATTAAATCGTTGAACTAGGTTCATGAACCAAATGAGTTAAATATGAGCGAAAAATTAAGTTTGTTAACTAAATGAGCTGAACTTGAACTATACATAGTTTGACTCGTTAGGTTCATGAGTTAACTCGATTACATATGAGAAGAATTATACTGTCTTTAAGATTAGATTTAAATATTTTCTCCAAATCTTAGACAAATTCAATCTTCAATTTAATAGTTTTTGAATTAGACTCTCAAATGTATCTCTTGAAACTTGTGTAGGTTTTGAATTAGTAGATTTCGGAGATAAAGCTAAATTTCAATATGATAACATTTATTTTATTTTAATATTTTATTTAAAAAAAATATTAATTTAAAATGTCCTATATATTAAAAAAATAGATTTAAAAAAATAGCTTTTATGTCCGTGAACCATATAAGCTGAACCTAATGAGATGAACCTAACGAGTTGAACCGAACTACTCGTGAACTTATAACGAGTCGAGTTTGAGCTTAAAAAAAAGTTTGTGTCAAACTCGAATTGAGATTTGAGCTGAACCAATTCTTAACGAGTCGAGTCGAGCTGAGGTGAGTTCGACTCGACTCGACTCATTTCCAGCCCTATCTGCCACGTACACAAAATGAACGGACGTTTGATGACAACTAACCGTGAGGACTCAATTGACAACCATTTTAAAAATTAGAGGACCAACTTGTCACTTTTTAAAGTTAAGCGATCAAACTGGACCCCGAGTTAAAGTTAAAGACAAAAAGAGGTATTTTGCCTAAATTTTAAATTAATTGTATGACATGACAGACTGATGCACTTTTATTGATAACAATGTAAAAATATTTTACACTGTTAATACATATCTATTAAACTCAAATAACAATTTAAATCAATTATTTATTTATTTATTTTAAATTTATTTTTATTAAAATTTTGTAAACAAAAATATGTATTACTACAAATGTTATTTAGAAAAATATGAAAAGCCCTTCCTCCTCCAAAACACAATAAATTGTATCTTAAAAAAAAAACAAACAAACAGAGGAGTGAAAGAAAGAGTTAGGGTAGTGTGCTTAGGAGGTGATTTCCACGTGGCTTAATTTGGTACACTTAATTGATCGGACGGACAGAATTTGTTAAAAGGTATTGTACCTTTCCCGCGACAATAAGCTCTGGGAGCAACTCAGTGCTCTGAACCAGAGCCAACTCTGCCCGAGTTAACGACTCGTAGCAGAACTCACCTCGAATGAATCATTCTCCGACGAACGCTCTCTCCTCCACGTGTTTATCCAACGCAGTGCCAGGTTCCATTTCCGCTTTGATTTTTTCATTTTAGGTTTTTTTAATTTTTTTTGATATTTGAATTTTGAGAAACTCTATGAATTTTGTTGATTGAAGATGAATGTAGAAGGGGAGTGGATTGAAAGGAGACAAGAGTTTCCGAGGCGAATCTGATAAGATGTTGAACGCTCCATATGTATGAATCTTTTTTTCTCCCATTCACCATTTAATTTTCAATTTGTTGTCAAATTCCATTGTTAATGTTCGTAGTTTATAGCTAACAATACTGAATTTTCAAATTTTTGATCAATTTTCTCTAATTATTCTTCCATCTGCATAATCATTAGGTATTTGGTAACTGGAGCATATCTTTTTTCTTCCCTCATGAACTCAAGTGAGTGAACTTTCATCAATTTTATACTATTTGCATCATATGTTTGCAATATTATACCCCTCCTTTTATGTACAACTTAATTAAGCGCGCTTATAGCATAGACACTTCTAGCATAAACACTTATCATATAATGTTCATGTGTATAAGCCTTTAGCATATAAGTTGATTTCATAAAATATTTTGGAGAGCTTATAGAAATAATCTGAAAACAACTAATGGACATGTATGTTTCCACAAACTATCTAAAATATCTAACAAGTACTTAAAGCAGTAGATAAGTTCAAATAAATCAATCTAAACAAATGCTCTACAACATAAGCACTTTACCAGGGCTTCATTTTGGTTAACAATGAAATCAAGGCCGGTTCTCAATTAGTTTGCAAATATGTACATCTAGGATTGCTAGAGTTACAAAAGTCATCATGCAATTATATTACAGAAAATAATTCTAGGGTTGAAATACAATATTTTCAATTTTTATTGATAAAAAAATTAAATTTTGTTTCATCTGATCTAATGCAGAAGATATAGTAGTTAAATCTATGATACAATAAGAAGAAACCAGTATTTTATATTATCCTCTATTAAGCTAAAAGTTATTATTAGGACCCTAACTGTGGGCTCATATGACTCTTATTTCCTAGCCCACAGTTGGGAGATATATGTCTATACGAGAGAATGCTGATTTGGTAGAGGGCGATGATAGTGTGTTACACAACTTCTGGGAGTTAGTTATATATGGGCTGAGGGGTGAGAGGAAGAGTATCTTAGAGAATTATTGAGTTATTTATGAACAGAGAGAATTGTTCTCTGCAGGAGCTTGGCTTTGTAGGCATTAGTGACATTAATCCTTTTGCAGTTATCTTTCATTTACAGAATAATGCACTATTATTCCGGTATTTGCGAGTTTTAATCTATTTTCTCTATATTATGTGAGTTGCACTGACTCGGGTACGCAACAGTTACAGACTAATACACTTGAATAATGGTGATACTTATATTTATGATCCTTTACACTTCTATGTTCTGCTTACACGAGTATAGGTTATATAGCTCAAGCTTTGCATTTTAAGATAACGTTTTCTTAGTCACTTCTATTCTTGTTCTGCAACACAAGTCTCTCATACATAATCAATTAATATAGGAACTTCAGTTATAGAAACATAGATTCTTTGAAAGAGCTATTAAAAGCTCGGGTTTCTATCACATATATCAAAGCCCTAAGGCATATTTTGTCTCCAGTAGTCCCCCCTCCTTTTAATAGTTAGAAATAATTTGCTCATTTTTCTCTCATATGCAATGAATAAGGATGCATATTATGGTGATATGGGGGTGTGTTTTGTGTTGCTAACATACTTGATAGTTGTATAAAAGAAACAAGAACTAATTAGGTGGAAAGAAATTGAATGTAACTCTTCATTAATAATACTTGTTTTCCAAACACAGCAGCAAGGTACTACAATACATGAAATACTTAATAAAAATAAATTTTATCAAACACAGAATAATAATATATGCACATATAAATCAAATAGATCACAAATAAATTATTCTTGCTTCCACTTTTTGATTTCTCGACACTTGAACACAGTAAGATTAGGAAGTGCAAGATGACCATCGAATAAATAAACTCAATCTCATCTAGATCACGAATATCGTAGCTCAGAGGTGGTATATTCGGACTATTATTCGAAGAATTTGGACTGGAAGATAGATGTTTCACTTTGCTCCAAATGGAGCTTGCTTTTATCTCTTCAGAAAAACTAGAACCTGAAAAAAATTGGGTTAATTTAAACATGATTTAAACATGTGATATTTACATGTGCGGGTGGGCGAAAATGCAAGTTTTTGATTATAATGATGGTAAACTTACATGATTTATCGCGTTTAGTGCTTTGGTGTTCCAAGACTAATCGTAGATCGGTGGTGGTGGAGAAGCATAGATATAACCTGGCGGTGGAGGTGACTTTACTGGTGGGGGAGGACTTACATAGTGGTAAGGAGGTGGAGGAGATGGCGATGGTGGTGGTGGGGATTTGTAGTAGTAAGGAGGGTGAGAAATGGGAGATGGTGGAGGAGGACTTTGATAGCTATAAGGAGGTGGTGGAGATGGAGATGGAGGTGGGGGAGATTTGTAATAGTAAGGAGATGGCGGTGATGGTGAGGGTGGTGGAGGTGATTTGTAATAGTAGGGAGGTGGTGGAGATGGTGATGGAGGTGGTGGAGATTTGTAATAGTAGGGAGGTGGTGGTGATGGTGATGGTGGTGGAGGAGATTTGTAATAGTAAGGTGGGGGAGGGGATGGTGATGGTGGAGGTGGTGACTTATAATAGTATGGTGGAGGAGGGGATGGGGATGGTGGAGGTGGGGACTTGTAATAATATGGAGGTGGTGGCGAGTTGTACTTGTAAATCGGTGAGGGATAATGGACTGGTGGAGGAGGTGACTTGTATTTGTAAACTGGGGGAGGTGGTGAGTTGTACTTGTAAATCGGTGATGGGGGCGGAGGTGATTTGTAGTAATATGGGGGAGAATCATGATGGACTGGTGGAGGTGGTGAGTTGTATTTGTAAACCGGAGAGGGAGGTGGAGGTGACTTGTAGTAATATGGAGGAGAATAATAATGGACTGGGGGAGGTGGTGAGTTGTACTTGTAAACCGGTGAGGGATAATGGACTGGGGGAGGAGGCGATTTATACTTGTAAACCGGTGGAGGTGGAGAGTTGTACTTGTAAACCGGCGAGGGGGGTGGAGGTGACTTGTAGTAATATGGGGGAGAATCATGATGGGCCGGTGGAGGTGGTGAGTTGTATTTGTAACTCGGAGAGGGAGGTGGAGGTGACTTGTAGGAATATGGAGGAGAATAATAATGGATTGGGGGAGGTGGTGAGTTGTACTTGTAAACTGGTGAGGGATAATGAACCGGGGGAGGAGGTGACTTGTACTTGTAAACCGGTGGAGGTGGTGAGTTGTACTTGTAAACTGGTGAGGGATAATGGACCGGGGGAGGAGGCGACTTGTACTTGTAAACCGGTGGAGGTGGTGAGTTGTACTTGTAAACCGGTGAGGGATAATGGACTGGGGGAGGAGGCGACTTGTACTTGTAAACCGGTGGAGGTGGTGAGTTGTACTTGTAAACCGGTGAGGGATAATGGACTGGGGGAGGAGGCGACTTGTACTTGTAAACTAGTGGAGGTGGTGAGTTGTACTTGTAATCTGGTGAAGGAGGTGGAGGTGATTTGTAGTAGTAAGGAGTATGTGGCGATTTCACGGGAGGTGGACGTGATTTGTAGTAATATGGAGGTGAATAATAATGGATCGGTGGAGGTGGCGATTTGTACGTATAAACTGGTGTGGGAGGTGGAGGTGATTTGTAGTTGTATGGAGTTGGTGAAGGCTTGGGCTTCTCACATTCTTTAAAATGTTTCTTTGAAGCATAAGCAAATGGCTTAGCCTTAATTACAACCTCATACTTGTCTTTGGAATACAAGTACAATTTAGTTCCTTCGTTTAGCTTAGTAGGTATTTTAAAGGGGGAGCCTCTAGGTGGAGCATAAAGGGCGGCCTTGCACACTGTGGAACCATATTTGACATAGTCAAAGTCCTCAACTGTGATGCTGTACTTTCCATTGATCTTAGTTTTACCATAAGCCTTAATGATTTTGCTCCCAGCTTTGCATGTCACCTCAACAACAGCACCTGCCCCAAAACAAAATTAGTTTAAGTAAAATATGAAGACGCCTATTATATTGGACAATATTATTAAAATAGCAGAATGTTAAACAATACTTGTAAAAATTTAATTTTCATAGGAGGCCGGCTTATTAAACTGTAATAATGAGTAGATTATATATCATTATTTTACATATTGATTGTTTTTTTTAATTAATGATAGGCTGCAGCAGATTCTAAGCTACTTATGTTTTACATTATGCATAGAAATCAAATTAGATTTTAGATTTGATTATCTATGGATAAATATCCTGAAATAAAACAGAATATTTTTTATTTTCTTCACAATATTATTGATTAAAACTATAGTAAGGCTGTATTCATAATAAATAAATAAATAAATAAGTTTATTAAATTGACAATTAGTTAAGAATACTCTTAACTTATTACTCTAAAGAAGTCTAGTGCTTAGTAATGTAATGTACCTTTGAGATGTTTCTTGTCATGAGATTTTTCTGGATACTCCCAATCATAGCACCTGAAGCTGTAGACTTTACCGACTACCTTCACAATTAATGAGTGGGGGTAGGGATGAGGGTGAGGATATGCAACAGGTGGAGGGGGAGAGTTATAATAGTATGTTGGTGGAAGGACCTTGGGCGGTGGTGGGGACTTGTAGTAATATGGAGTATGTGGAATAGGAGATGGAGGAGGAGATTTGTAGTAGTATGGGGTATGGGGAATAGGAGATGGAGGAGGAGGAGATTTGTAGTAGTATGGTGGTGGTGGAGATGGTGAAGGTGGTGGGGGAGATTTGTAGAAGTAGGATGGAGGAGGAGATGGAGAAGGTGGTGGTGGGGACTTGTAGTAGTATGGTGGGTCCTTGTGTATATGTGGTGGTGGAGGAGACTTGTAGTAGTATGGTGGGGGAGGGGAGGGTGAGGGTGGTGGGGGAGATTTGTAGTAATATGGAGGTGGTGGTGAGGAAGATGGTGGTGGTGGAGACTTGTAATAGTATGGTGGGGGAGGTGAAGGTGATGGTGGTGGAGGAGATTTGTAGTAGTAAGGAGGCGGAGGTGAAGGAGAAGGTGGTGGAGGACTCTTGTAATAGTATGGTGGCGGGGGTGATGGAGATGGAGGAGGTGGTGACTTATATACATAAGGAGGTGGTGGTGATGTAGATGGAGGAGGTGGTGACTTGTATACATATGATGGAGCCTTGTGCTCGTATGATGGTGGTGGTGGAGACTTGTAAATGTATGGAGGAGGTGGTGATGGGGATGGTGGAGGTGGTGACTTGTAAACATAAGGAGGCGGTGGTGATTTGTAGACATAAGATGGAGCCTTGTGCTCATATGGTGGAGGAGGGGGTGACTTGTACACATAAGGTGGTGGCGGTGAAGGTGACGGTGGTGGTGGTGACTTGTACTCATAAGGTGGTGGAGGTGAAGAGTAAATATAACTATCTGCAGCAGCAGAAACTACCGTAGTGGAAATCAAAACAATGGCCAATGCCATTGCCATTGGTGGCCAGTTATGACCCCATTTGGGGCTACTGGCCATAGCAGTCATGGGTAGAAAGAAAAAACTTGACACCTCCAATGCTAATGTTATTAGATCCTCGCTAATAATATTCTTAGAATTAGAGGAAAGGATGGTAAGAAAGAAGAGGCGGTGTTAGTGATTACTGTGAAAAGCCTAACCAGAGACTAAGTATTTATAGTGTGTGAATCGGTAAGGAGTAGCCATCGCGTAGGACCAACTCAAATATTCAACTGTTTTCATATTGGTTTAAATGCTTTAAATTAAGTCTCCAAGTTGGCCACTTCTTTCCCATGACATTATGTTACTCAAATTAGCTAGAGCCTGTCACTATTACAATCTCTAACTACTAATTAAATTATAAGTTAGCATCTTGACAAAATGGTAATTTCCTCCTAGCAACCCTGCTGGTTTGCCTATCTTGTTTAAAAACATACTAGTACAAAATACTTCTTTTTACCAACTATTTTCCCTTTTATTATTTATTCATTTGACTTTCATTATTTATTTATCTACATTGTTTTTTGGATAAATTTCAAATGTACTTTACCTAAATGCATTATAATTATAAAACTTAATTTACCTAAATGCATATAATGTGAGGCCTGGGTGGGAACTATGAGGGATGGACTGGTGAAGAAGAATGAATTAAACTTAATTTTCACTCTGATTCACCTTTTATTACTTCTATTCTTTTTTTTTAATCACTTTCGTTAAGACTTTTCCCCGACATATGTTTTCTCAATTATAAGATGAACATGGGATGTTGCTATATTCCTGATGAAATGCATAATAGCACATTAGAAAAAATAGAAACAATAACCAGGAAAAATATTAGCAAATTCAGATTATTTTAGTTTTGTGCAAGAAGTAATAAGTGGATGGGGTTTTATTTAGATCTTGAATTCTAGTTGATTCTTTAAGTCAAAAGTTTAACTTTCCTTAATATATTTCTTTGTTTGGGAAAACACTTTCTAAGTGGCTTTGTTGCTTTATTTGTACAATGCACCTACCTTTCTAGTTAGGGTTTATCTCATATAAGATGTGATACCAACTCAATCTTTAACATATATTTTTTCATATACTCATTCTTATTGGTTGAAATTTATATGAGACCTGCAAAATTTTGTAGGATTCACATAAATGAAATTCAACAAATAGAAAGAAGTCTTTTTAAAAAAGAGTTTAATTGGTTTGCACTGTCGTCCAATAGAAATATATTATTCTGCCATGTTATACAGTTAATTTAAAATTTACAGTCTGATGTGGCGGGATGTATGAGGGTGATTGGTTGACATACCAATTAAATTCTTGAAAAAAATATCTGTGTTGAAAAGTGTACTATTATTATTTAAGTTATTTATATTAGTAACAGAGGAAGAAATTATTTATTAAAAAAAGAGAGAAACGTGCAGGCATTATGGAAATATGTCAATGGAAAATGATTGAATCACAGTATTTCAGTAACATTTTATTTGACTCAATCATTTCATTATTTACTCCCTCTGTTCCAAAATAAGAGTCTTTTTAGTCAAAAAATTTTGTCCTAAAATAAGAGTCTTTTTACGTTTTCTATGCAACAATTAACTTTTACCAACTTTATCCCTAGTAAATATTATCTACATAACTTTCAAGATATTACATTACATTACATATTTATAATAACCAATAGTAATTAAGGGCGGTTTTGTAAAATTGTTACATTTAATTATTCAATCATTATTTTTCTTAATCTATGTGCAACAACCTTAAAAGACTTTCATTTTGAGACGGAGGGAGTAACATAGAAGGAAATAATTCTAAAAAATGAAATTTGAACGGAATCAAAACATCATAAATCCAAAAGCTAGTGAAAATTTGTTCTAATTATTGTTGCACGTAAAATCATAATACACCAGTTTTCTAGTTAAATTCGACAGAAAAAACCAGTTGTATGTGAAAGTGTGTGTACAATAATTTTTTTGTTCTAGTTTGTTTTTAATTGTTGCATATTTTTTAGCAACTGATCAATGTCGGATTGTAACACAAAATGAAGGCACCAATAAATGAATGAAACGTGCAGACTACCGTTATGAAATTGGGTTTGGTGCTGTTACATAATGTAATACTAATATTTATAAATAGACAACTAAGTCTTTGCCAATTAAAATATAGTTATTTTGTTGGGAAGTCAATCTTCCATAACAGAATTATCTGTACTCTAAGAATGAATCCCATGATATGAAGTTTTTACATAAGACAAAAGTGTGATTTTCTACAAATCAAACTTACAAAAAGTAGATCTGTTAATTGTTATCATCTCTCTTCTAAAATGATGTGATATCACTTCTCCCTTGTTACAATTTGACATGAGAGGATTATTCCTCCATACTTTATTTGTTTCTTATCAACATTGTTAATGGAAAAATACATAATATCTCTGTTACTTTTTATAAGTCTACATTTTCGCATATAGATTAAGAGAAGTATGGTCTGTTTATGTTAATACCCAAGTTATTTAATAAAGGATACGAGGTATTTCCGGACTTAAACTGGCTAGACATTGGAGAGAAGAATCAAAACTATAACTACTGTCATCAAATTCAAAAATAAGGTAAAAAACGTTGATAATGATGAGTAATAGAATTACTGTTGGGTTAGACAACACATCTATTGAAGTGTAAAAAAGTCAAAGCAAATGTTGGATGGATGGAAAGAAATCAGTTTAATTCCGTTCTATAAGAACGAGGGAGATATATAAAGTTGTGCAAATTATAGATGGATTAAACTTATGAGTCATAGTTATTAAAACGAATGATTGAAAGTAGATTAAGAAAAGAGACTCAAATTACTAATAATCAATATGGTTTTATGCCAAAGGGGTCGATTATGAAAGCATTTTATTTACTACAACATGCGATTGACCGATATCAGATGTATCAAAAAAACTTGCACTTAGTTTTTAATAATTAGGAAAAAACGTATCAGTGTCTAGTGAGATTATGTGAAAAGTCTTAGAGAAGAAAGAAGTTAAGATTGTCTATATTTAAGCTATTCGGCATATGTACGAAGAAGTCTCAATTAGTGTGATGATACAGGATAGTTAAAGGATAGTTAAACTGTTAGAGGCAGAGAAAAATCTAAAAATCTATAACAAAAATGTAATTTGATCCTTATAGTACCATTTAATGTAATTTGATCCATATAGTACGATTTAATAAAATGAAGTTTGTTTTTTTGTGTGTGTGTGTAGGTGTTCCTTAAATGTCTTTTTATTTATAGGTCTATCAAACTCTGATTTTTTATCACTTAAAGAAAAATAGTATTTATAAATATGTTTGAAAAAAAGTACATATAGTTATTTAAAATATACTTATATTTATTGAAAGGAATTTATGATTAGAGACAGATGCAATGTTATTAAAATAGACAGATGTGCTAGTTTTAAGAGAAGTGTAGCAAGAAGCAACATTTTGATTTTCTCCAGCTGATCAATTTATTTACTCTCTCCTAGTGCTAGGCTGGCAGTGACTTCCGTTGCATATACCTTTTTTTTTTTTTTTTTTTTTTTTTTTTTGTGTTTTTTGACAGAGCATATGCCCCCATTTTTAAAATTACTAACATATAAAATAAAATGTGTGCATCAATTGTGTCCCCATGTGAAGCTACTAATAATACATAAATTGGCCAATGCTATAGTGCACCTCTCTCACACACATTGTTTATGGAAGTCAATGCCGTGTAATAGAATGTCTGAATCATGTAAGTAGAACATCAAATTCACGATCATTCTTGAATTTAAGAGAAATATATAATCTTCATTCAATTAAATATTTTAAACCTGAATAGTCAATAGCGGTCAATAGCGGCGCTATCACCCTACAGTGCAGCGGGGCGGAGACCAACATGAGAAGAGCCTTAGCTACACAAAACACTATAGCAGCCGTTATAAACTAAATAGCAGAATAATGGAGCTGGCCCTGGTCCTGAGCGGTTTCTGTCCCGCCATCCTTTTCCTCCCTAAAATTCAAAATTACCCCCTATATTTACAATGTTTTAAGTGTAATTTTAGGGTTTTCAATCAAATTTGAGTTTAAACTCAGCATTTCTTCATAGTTGTTTATGCAGTTCAAAAACCACTTGTGCTTTGGTTTATATGAATATTTTATGAATTGAGTTATTTGTTTAACTTTATATTACATATATGTTATAATTATTATATGTAATTTGTCTAAAAAAATGATCAAATTGAGTGGTCATCTCGTTATAAGCTATTCTGCTATTCCACTTTTAGAGTCGGGCGTTCGGTACTGCTATCCGGGAATGACTACTCTGTTTTTAACACAAAATGTTAAAATAGTTTTAAACACGTTGGAAAGGGATGACAAACTAGCATGTCTGCTCCGTTGAAACCTGCCCCGCAAAAGCCCGTAAAAGAAACGGAGCGGGGCGGGGCAAAAATATTTGAGGGTGTAGACCTAAAACTTTGTCTTGTCCCGAAAAAAATGAGGACGGGGCGGGGCAAACTCGCGGACACTAATTTTTAAGCCTAAAAATACAAAATTTTATATTGATGTCCGTGCCTGCAAAATAAAAAAAAATAGAACGGGGTGAACATATTAGAGGGTGCAGGTCTAAAATCTTGATCTTGATCTGTTCCGAAAAAAAAATGCAAGCAAAGGAAATGTGGTAACCACAGTGGTAATGTGAAAAAGCTAGAAAAAAGAGTGGGATTAGTGAGTCCCTTTGGATTCTTAAAATGTTGAACAGATAAGAATAAAAATCACATCAGGTTGAAAATAAGAATATGTATGTGTTTGGAACAGCATTTGCACACATAAAATCAAATCTTAAGGCACTTTTAACATGAAAAATGAGAAGCTGAAAAATGGAGCTTTTGCGTTAACGTGACTTTTTAACTTGATGATTTGCCAAACAGACACCAAAACTTTTTCCTTTTTGGACAGTTAATTATGTTAAAGTTATATGGATGACCACTCCACCAACCTCTGATCTTAAAATTATCAGGTTTTGGTGGTGTAGGGTTTTACCTTTTTCTCAGACTGAAATTATCTTATGTGGGGTCGTTATTTAGTGAAAGTAGGATTGTGATTAGGATATGGAATAGTCTTGTTATGTAATCAATGCATAAGCCTTTTTCTTGGTGTAGAATTATATTTTTAGGGGTATGGTTGTTTCAAGAATTGAAATTATATTTTTTGGAATCATATTTTTAGGGTTTATATTCTTAGGATTATTATTCGGGAAATATTATTTCAACTTAGGTGTTTAGTAAAACTTTAGATTCCTAAAAATAATTATGAAATTTGTTTAATTTAAAATTATAGAAATAATCAAAATAGTAGTAAAAGTAAGTGGTAGTGGAAAATTATAATTGGTTAAATTTATTCTCATGGAAATATTATATTCCCCCATTTAAATATTGAAATAAAAATAAAAGTAATGTGTAAATACAATTCCTTGGAATTATTTTATAAAACTTGAATTAAATACGAGAATATTGCATTCTCATACCCATATTCCCATAAATAATTTTTTAAACCTTGAAAAAACACACCCTTAGTAATGAGTTTCCTGGCAATTTCTATCGGCAAAACTTTTTTTTTGGGAACAACAGTTTACAAATGTGCTAGGTATGTAGTGGTGAATTTCAGGAATTTTTTTTCAATTTATTTGTTTTAAAATATAGGAACGTGGGAAGTTGTTAGTTATTTTTATTGCCAAGGTAATAAAAGATTCTCAGTCTCTATTATTACAATTTAAACTAGAGAAAACATGAGTAAGTTTTGTTCCTTGGAATAAATAAAACTTGAGAATAATTATATAAAACTTTGGAAAACATGAGAATGTAATATTTTGAACCCTTTGGAAAAAATGTTTGTAGAAATCTTAACACTTTATGATTTCTTTCAATTAGGGATCATAGTGTTTCTGGCAGTAATGAAATGATACTCTTGAAGTAGATCACTAGGTGTGCTTTGACTCTGATACCATCATATATGAATGAGCAATTCATGATAGAAGAATAGAAAGGAATATGGAGGAGAATGGTCCTTATTTCATCGTTTGCATTACATTACACTGCTTATTTATAGAAAGGAAAATCTTGCATGCATAAAGCAACGAAGTGCAGCTACACCATATAACTCTTATGAACATAAATTCATAGACAAACTAACTAGGTTCACCGAGTAACCGTGATCCTGTCACATTCTTAACAGTAATCACTGCGTCTTTGTTTATGTATTGTTTAAAAGCTTTAAGTGTATGTCGGTATTATTTTAAATAGCCACATTTGCATGAATGGTAGCTGTTAGAAAGAAACAAGTAACAATTGACAGAAGTTGAATGTGATTCTTATTTGATAACAGCTTTTGGCAAACACAATAGCTGGTTACAATAAAAAATTCTTCAATAAATAAAAAACTATAATACACATCCATATTGATCTATACACAAATAAATCAAAGAGATCACAAATAAACTAATCTTGCTTCTCCCTTTTGATTTGTCTATCCCTTGAATAGAATAAGACAAGGAATTGCAAGATTGGCACCAATGAAATAAAATAAATATTGTCTGGATCATAAATATTGTAACTCAAAGATAATATATCCAGACATTTATTTAACGAATTTAGACATGAAGCTAGAAGTTTCACTTTGCTCCAAATGGAGATTGACTTTATTCCTAGATGAAAACTGGAACCTGAACACAAATAAGAATAGGAATTTTGGTTATTATCAGGTATATAACACACACAAACACAAAGTAATAACAATATAAATGATAAACTTACATGGTTTATCATGAATGGTGTTTCTGCAGTTTGAGCTTAGTTGTATATAGGTGGTGGTGGTGAAGCATAGATATAAGCTGGTGGTGGAGGTGACTTTACTGGTGGGGGAGGACTCACATAAAGGTAAGGAGGTGGAGGAGATGGCGACGGTGGTGGAGGGGATTTGTAGTAGTAGGGAGGATGAGAAATGGGAGATGGTGGAGGAGGACTTTGATAGTGATAAGGAGGTGGTGGTGATGGAGATGGAGGCGGGGGAGATTTGTAATAGTAAGGAGGTGGCGGTGATGGTGAGGGTGGTGGAGGTGATTTGTAATAATAGGGAGGTGGTGGAGATGGTGATGGTGGTGGAGGTGATTTGTAAGAGTAGGGAGGTGGTGGTGATGGTGATGGTGGTGGAGGAGATTTGTTATAGTATGGAGGGGGTGGGGATGGTGATGGTGGAGGTGGGGACTTATAATAGTAGGGTGGAGGAGGGGAAGGTGATGGTGGGGGTGGTGACTTATAGTAGTATGGTGGGTTTGAAATCTCCTTAGGTGGAGGAGGTGACTTATAATAGTAAGGTGGTGGTGGAGATGGTGATGGTGGTGGTGGGGACTTATAATAGTATGGTGGAGGAGGGGATGGGGATGGTGGAGGTGGGGACTTGTAATAATATGGAGGTGGTGGTGAGTTGTACTTGTAAATCGGTGAGGGATAATGGACCGGGGGAGGAGGTGAGTTGTACTTGTAAACTGGTGGAGGTGGTGAGTTGTACTTGTAAACCGGTGATGGGGGTGGAGGTGATTTGTAGTAATATGGGGGAGAATCATGATGGACCGGTGGAGGTGGTGAGTTGTATTTGTAAACTGGAGAGGGAGGTGGAGGTGACTTGTAGTAATATGGAGGAGAATAATAATGAACTGGGGGAGGTGGTGAGTTATACTTGTAAACTGGTGGAGGTGGTGAGTTGTACTTGTAAACCGGTGAGGGGGGTGGGGGTGACTTGTAGTAATATGGGGGAGAATCATGATGGACTGGTGGAGGTGGTGAGTTGTATTTGTAAACCGGAGAGGGAGGTGGGGGTGACTTATAGTAATATGGAGGAGAATAATAATGGACTGGGGGAGGTGGTGAGTTGTACTTGTAAACCGGTGAGGGATAATGGACCGGAGGAGGAGGTGACTTATACTTGTAAACCGGTGGAGGTGGAGAGTTGTACTTGTAAACCGGTGAGGGGGGTGGAGGTGACTTGTAGTAATATGGGGGTGAATCATGATGGACCGGTGGAGGTGGTGAGTTGTATTTGTAAACCGGAGAGGGAGGTGGAGGTGACTTGTAGGAATATGGAGGAGAATAATAATGGACTGGGGGAGGTGGTGAGTTGTACTTGTAAACTGGTGAGGGATAATGGACCGGGGGAGGAGGTGACTTATACTTGTAAACTGGTGGAGGTGGTGAGTTGTACTTGTAAACCGGTGAGGGATAATGGATTGGGGGAGGAGGCGACTTGTACTTGTAAACCGGTGGAGGTGGTGAGTTGTACTTGTAAACCGGTGAGGGAGGTGGAGGGGATTTGTAGTAGTAAGGAGTTGGTGGCGATTTCACAGGAGGAGGTGGTGATTTGTAGTAATATGGAGGTGAATAATAATGGACTGGAGGAGGCGGCGATTTGTACTTGTAAACTGGTGTGGGTGGTGGAGGTGATTTGTAGTAGTATGGAGTTGGTGATGGCTTGGGCTTCTCACATTCTTTAAAATGTTTCTTTGAAGCATAAGCAAATGGCTTAGCCTTAAGCACAACCTCATACTTGTCTTTGGAATACAAGTACAATTTAGTTCCTTCGTTTAGCTTAGTAGGTATGTTAAAGGGGGAGCCTTTAGGTGGAGCATAAAGGGATGCCTTGCACACTGTGGCACCATATTTGACATAGTCAAAGTCCTCAACTGTGATGCTGTACTTTCCATTGATCTTAGTTTTACCATAAGCCTTAATGATTTTGCTCCCAGCTTTGCATGTCACCTCAACAACAGCACCTGCCCCAAAACAAAATTCGTTATTAAAATATGAAGACACTTATTATATTGGACAATATTATTAAAATAGCAGAATGTCAAACAATACTTGTCAAAATTAATTTTATGAGGCTGGTTCTTAGTAACTTATGTTTTGTATTATGTGTAGAAATCAAGTTACATTTTAGATTTGATTATCTATGGATATATATCAAAACAAAACAGATTGTATTTTATTTTCTTCAAAAACATTAATGATCAAAACTATAGTAGTGATGTATTAATTAAAATTAAATTAAAATATAAATAAAAAATTTAACAGAAAATTAGTTAAGAATACTCTAAACTCATTATCTAAAGAAATCTAATCCTTAGTAATGTAATGTACCTTTGAGATGTTTCTTGTCATGAGATTTTTCAGGATACTCCCAGTCATAACACCTGAAGCTGTAGACTTTACCGATTACCTTCACAATCAATGAGTGGTGGTATGGATGTGGGTGAGGATACGCAACAGGCGGAGGAGGAGAGTTATAATAGTATGGTGGGGGAAGGACCTTGGGTGGTGGGGGAGACTTGTAGTAGTATGGGGTATGGGGAGTAGGAGATGGAGGGGGAGGAGATTTGTAGTAGTACGGCGGTGGTGGAGATGGTGAAGGTGGTGGGGGAGATTTGTAGTAGTAGGGTGGTGGAGGAGATGGTGTAGGTGGTGGTGGGGACTTGTAATAGTATGGTGGATCCTTGTGTATATATGGTGGTGGAGGAGACTTGTAGTAGTATGGTGGGGGAGGGGAGGGTGAGGGTGGTGGGGGAGATTTGTAGTAATATGGAGGTGGTGGTGAGGGAGAAGGTGGTGGTGGAGACTTGTAATAGTATGGTGGGGGAGGTGAAGGTGAGGGTGGTGGAGGAGATTTGTAGTAGTATGGAGGTGGAGGCGAGGGAGAGGGTGGTGGAGGACTTTTGTAATAGTATGGTGGTGGGGGTGATGGAGATGGAGGAGGTGGTGACTTGTACACATATGGTGGAGCCTTGTGTTCATATGGTGGTGGAGGTGGTGACTTGTACACATAAGGAGGTGGTGGTGATGGAGACGGAGGAGGTGGTGACTTGTACACATAAGGAGGTGGTGGTGATGGAGACGGGGGAGGTGGTGACTTGTACTCATATGATGGAGCCTTGTGTTCATATGGTGGTGGTGGTGGAGACTTGTAAACGTATGGAGGAGGTGGTGATGGGGATGGTGGAGGTGGTGACTTGTACACATAAGGAGGAGGTGGTGATGGGGATGGTGGAGGTGGTGATTTGTACACATAAGATGGAGCTTTGTGCTCATATGGTGGAGGAGGTGGTGACTTGTACACATATGGTGGTGGTGGTGAAGGTGACGGTGGTGGTGGTGACTTATACTCATAAGGTGGTGGAGGTGAAGAGTAAACATAACTATCTGCTGCAGCAGAAACAACAGTAGTAGAAATCAAAAGAATGGCCAATGCCATTGCCATTGGGGGCCAGTTATGACCCCTTTTGGGGCTACTGGCCATAGCAGTCATGAGTAGAAAGAAAAAACTTGATAACTCCAATTCTAAAGTTTTTGGATATCCTCACAAATATTCTTAGAAAAAGAGGAAGAGATAGAAAGAAAGAAGATGTTTTGGTGTTAGTGATTACTGTGAAAAGCAGAAAGAAAGACCAAGTATTTATAACATGTTTGAATCGTTAAGGTGTAGCCATCATGAAGGACCAATTCAAATATTCAATTGGTTTCTTTTAGATATTATTTACATTAGTTTATATTTCCCAGCTGGCCACTTCTCTCCCATTACTTATTCTTACTCCAAATGGTTTAGAATCAGTCACTATTTGAATTTCCCAACTACTTATTAAAATATATATCAACCTCTTGACAAAAAAGAATGATTATTAGAGAAGGTAAGGTAATGTACTATGTCCTATTTCTCTGTCATTTCCTCCTAGTAGCAGCCCTGCTAAGTCGCCTCGCTTGACAAAAGTAATTTCAAAATGCCTTTTGCATTTGTTTTCATTTCATGTAGTTTTTTAGGGAAGGAAAAGTGAAATAATGTATTTTCAGTATAATGTACTAGATTGTAGCTATTGTAAGATTGTAAGATTTGGTTCGACCAATCGATTCCATTTCTCCTTTTGTAAAGTATGAAGAGATACATATTTGATTTTTTACTATTTCTGGTGATCTTTTTGAACATAACCTTTTGGTGGTTTGTGATAAAGAATAATTCAAATTTACATTGTATTTTCTACATTATGTCCACTTGTTTGAGGGGTTATGAATTAAGAATGAATAATACTAACAAGAGATTAATTACTATACACTGTTGGTGTAAAAAATTGTATACCGTCGATTCATCACCATCATCTGTTTGCCTTATTGTATAAGTAATTAAAATAAATGTCAAACTTTTCTAAATATCTAATGACTATGATTAACTGACAATGTAAAATGTATTTCAATTAAATTCTAATAAAAATATACTCTTTCAACATTTTTTTTATTAGTTAAAATTTTTAGACTATCAAATTTAAGTGGACCTCACATAATTTGTTGGGGTTCATACAAATTTCAACCGAAGAGTACAAGTTTATCTCCAAATGGTTATAATCAGTCACTATTTGAATTTCTCAACAACTTATTCTTATTTCAAATGGTTAGAATCAGTCACTATTTGAATTTCTCAACAACTTATTAAAATATATATCAGCCTCTCGACAAAAAAGAATGATTATAATAACAGAATCAAAACATCATAAATCCAAAAGCTAGTGAAAATTTGTTCTAATTATTGTGGCGCTTAATATCATATTATACTACTCAAGAGCACTTGATTGAGATGGTAAGGTTCTTTTCTAGCTTATTCAGTTGTTTTAGGTTTGAATCCAGCCCTGGACATGAAACAACGTTAAATCTTTTGAAGGAGAGCTTTGCTGCCTATTGTGATCCTCTTCGGCTCGAAGGTTAGTCTCTTCAGTTGCGCACTCTTGGTTTATTCCAAAAAAATAATAATAATAAAATCATATTATACTAGTTTTCTTGTTAAATTTGACAGAAAAATTGTTAGTGTTAATTTATAATACTATTTATAATACTTGTGAAAGTGTTTGTACAATATTTTTTTTGTTCTAGTTTGTTTTTAATTGTTGCATAGTTTTTAGAAACTGATCAATGTCGGCTTGTAACACAAAATGAAGGCACCAATAAATGAATGAAACGTGCAGACTACCGTTATGAAATTGGGTTTGGTGCTGTTAGATATATTTATAAATAGACAACTAAGTCTTTGCCAATTAAAAAATATAGTTTTATTTTGCTGGAAAGTAAATCCTCCATAACAGAATTATCTGTACTATACTGTACGAATTAATCCCATGATATGAAGTTTCCTCAGAAGACAGAAAAGTGTGATTTTCTACTATTCAAATTTAGATCTGTTGTCATCTCTCTTCTAAAATGACGTTATATCGCTTCTCCCTTGTTAAAATTTGACAAAAGAGTTATTCCTAGGTATTTTATTTGTTTCTTATCAACTAACAGAAATACATAATATTTCTGTTACTTTATATAAGTCTCTGACATTTTTTACATAGTATTGAAAGAGGTATAGTCTATTTAATGTGTTATATTACACAAGTTATTTAATGGAGGATATGAGATATTACATGACTTAAACCGACTAGACGGAGGATCAAGACTATAACTACCATCTATGGATACAAAAAAGTAAGGTAAAAAATGTTGAAAAGGATGAGTAAAGCAATATGGTGTTGTTAGACAATACATCTATTGGGTGTAAACAAGTTTTAGAGATTGAGGCATTAATTAACTCACCAAGCTTTTTAACAATATTTAAGTTCAAAGTAAGATGGATAGAAATAAGAGAGATATATAAAATTGTGCAAATTGTATATGAATTAAACTTATGAGTCATATCATGAAGTTATGGGAAAAAGTGGTTGAATGTAGATTAAGAAAAGAGACTCAAGTTGCAGATGATCAATTTAGTTTTATGTCAGGAGGTCGATTACGAAAGCGTTCTATTTACTACGGCGTGTGATAGAGCGGCATCAGATGGATCAAGACTTGCACTTAGTTCTCATTGATTAAGAGAAAGCGTATGATAGTGTCTAGAGAGATCACGTGAAAAACATTAGAGAAGATAGGGGTTAGGATTGTCTGTATTTAAGTTATCTAGTATATGTACGAGGGAATCTCAACTAGTTTGTGTTCTATCTAGTATATGTATGAGGGAGTCTCAACTAGTGTGAGGACACAAGATAGTCAAACTGTTAGAGGTAGAAAAAAATCTATAAAATTTACGAGAAAATGTGAAGAAAAATCTAAAAATTAATGAGTTGGATAAAACTAATGGTTATTGATGGAACGTTATATGCGTAATTTGATCATATAATCCCACTTTGGTTGTTGTTTTTTGTGTTTAGGTGTTACTAAAATATGTTTTCGTTTATAGATTTATAAAACTTTGACTTTTTCTCACTTAAGAAAAATTAATAGTATTTATTAGAAGTATTTTTGAAAAAAATTAAAAAAATTTATATATAGTTATTTAAAATAGACTTATATTTAACAATAATTTTATTTATTGAAAGGAGTTTATGATTGGAGAGAGATGCAATATTATTAAAATAGACAGATGTGCTAGTTTAAAGAGAAGTGTTGCAAGAAGCAACGTTTTGGTTTTCTCCAACAGATCAATTTATTTACTCTCTTAGTGCTAGGGCGGTGACTTCCGTTGCATATACCCTTTTTGTGTTTTTTTGACAGAACATATGCCCCATTTTTATAGTTACTAGCATATACAAAATTTGTGCATCAATTGTGTCCCCATGTGAAGCTACTAATAATATACTTAAATTGGTCAATGCTATAGTGCACATCTCTCACATGCACATTGTTTATGGTAGTCAATGCCGTGTAATAGAAAGTTCGAATCATGTAAATAGCAGTGTTATCAAATATCCGTTATGGCGGATACACATGGCGGTTTTTGGGCTATTGGCCGATATTGCGGGTTTTTCCCGTTATAATCTGCTATGAAGGCACCGCAAAGCGGTTGGAATGGTGGGATTTTGGCTCTCCGCTATGGAACGCCATCCGCCATCAACGACAATGGCAAATAGAACATCAAATTCACGATCATTGTTGGATTTAAGAGAAATATATAATCTTCATTCTATTAGGTGATTTTTAACACAAAATGTTCAAATAGTTTTAATCATAGCTTGGATACTGATTCCATAAGGAAATGTGGTAACCACAGTGGTAATGTGAAAAAGCTAGAAAAAAGAGAGGGATTAGGGAGTCACTTTGGATTCTTAAAATGTTGAGCAGATAAGACTAAATCACATCTCGTTGAAAATAAATAAAGCTTTTTCCTTTTTCAACAGTTAATTATGTTAAAGTTATATGGATGACCACTCCACCAACCTCTATGATCTAAAAATTATCAGGTTTTGGTGGTGTTGGGTTTTACCATTTTTTCAGACTGAAGTTATCTTATGTGGGTCGTTATCTTCTTAAACACAAAAATGATTTTATTAAGAAATCAAAAGAGGCCGGCTACAACCTCTTACATTATCTGCCAATAAAGTACTCATAGAAGGGAAAATGGAATCAACTAGAGCCCAATCAAAAGTTGAGGAGGAATTGCCTTAATTAACTAGTAAATATGCCTACTTCGTTGGATAGTTACCAATATTAGAAGCTGAAAGGTTCCACTCGAGCCATTGTTGGAGTACTGAGCTGAAAAAATTTGCGCCAAATAATCTCGGCGAATCAAATCAGTCCAGTAGTTCCTCACTTTCCCCCAATCCTGCCGTATATGCATAACTGTTTCTGGATAGTTAGGACATTGAGGGCAGATTCTGGAATGTCCTTCATTTGTCAGCATTTAACCATGGCCAAGTTTTCAATGAAGTGACCTGTAGCTAGTTGTCCTTTCCAAGACCATACTTAACTGAAAGTAGGATTGTGATTAGGATATGGTTTAGTCTTGTTATGTATCAATGCATAAGCTTTTCTCTTGGTATAGAATTATATTCTTAGTACTGAAGTTCCTGACAATTTCTATTAGCAAAAATATTTTTTTGGGAATAACAGTTTTCAAATGTGTTAAGTATGTACATGTTAATTTCAGGAATCTTTTTTCTCGATTTATTTATTTTAAAATATAGGAACGTGTGAAGTTGTTATTAGTTATTTTTATTCTCAAGATGATAAATGATTATCAGCATCTATTATTATATTACAATTTAAAATAGAGAAAACATGAGTAAGTTCTATTCCTTAGAGTATATAATACCTGATAATAATTATATCAAACTTTGCAAAATATGAGAATGTAATATTTTGAACCCTTTCTCAAAAATGTTAATAGAAACTGTTAAACGAGACAATATATTTCCACCCACCATTTATTTCCACGCTTCAGTTGTCCAGTCCTGAGCGTGAGGGGGTGTGTTAAGAGTCCCACATCGGACAATATATAGCATGAACATATGTTTATAAGTGGGGGGCAATCCTCACTCTACCAACCGGTTTTGACTCTGATACCATCTTATATGAACGAGCAATTCATGATTGAAAAATTGAAAGGAATATGGAGGGGAATGGTTCTTACTTCATTGTTTGAATTAAATCACACTTCTTATTTATAGAAAGTAAAAATCTTGCATACATAACGCAACTAAGTGCAGCTACACCATATATTTAACAAGGTACACGAGTAACCCTGTCACATTCTTAACAGGGTAGCATGCATCTTTGTTTATGCATTGTTTGAAGCTTTTAATGTATGTAGGCGCCGTTTTAAATAGCCACATTTGAATGAATGGTCGCTGTTAGAAAGAAACAAGTAATAATTGACAGAAGTTGAATGTGATTCTTATTTGATAACAGCTTTTGGCAAACACAATAGCTGGTTACAATAAAAATCTTCAATAAATAAAAAACTATAATACACATCCATATTGATCTATACACAAATAAATCAAAGAGATCACAAATAAACTAATCTTGCCTCTCCCTTTTGATTTGTCTATCCCTTGAATAGAATAAGACAAGGAAGTGCAAGATTGGCACCAATGAAATAAAATAAATATTGTCTGGATCATAAATATTGTAACTCAAAGATAATATATCCAGACATTTATTTAACGAATTTAGACATGAAGCTAGAAGTTTCACTTTGCTCCAAATGGAGATTGACTTTATTCCTAGATGAAAACTGGAACCTGAACACAAATAAGAATAGGAATTTTGGTTATTATCAGGTATATAACACACACAAACACAAAGTAATAACAATATAAATGATCAACTTACATGGTTTATCATGAATGGTGTTTCTGCAGTTTGAGCTTAGTTGTATATAGGTGGTGGTGGTGAAGCATAGATATAAGCTGGTGGTGGAGGTGACTTTACTGGTGGGGGAGGACTCACATAAAGGTAAGGAGGTGGAGGAGATGGCGACGGTGGAGGAGGGGATTTGTAGTAGTAGGGAGGATGAGAAATGGGAGATGGTGGAGGAGGACTTTGATAGTGATAAGGAGGTGGTGGTGATGGAGATGGAGGTGGGGGAGATTTGTAATAGTAAGGAGGTGGCGGTGATGGTGAGGGTGGTGGAGGTGATTTGTAATAATAGGGAGGTGGTGGAGATGGTGATGGAGGTGGTGGAGATTTGTAATAGTATGGAGGTGGTGGAGATGGTGATGGTGGTGGAGGTGATTTGTAATAGTAGGGAGGTGGTGGTGATGGTGATGGTGGTGGAGGAGATTTGTAATAGTATGGAGGGGGTGGGGATGGTGATGGTGGAGGTGGGGACTTATAATAGTAGGGTGGAGGAGGGGAAGGTGATGGTGGGGGTGGTGACTTATAGTAGTATGGTGGGTTTGAAATCTCCTTAGGTGGAGGAGGTGACTTATAATAGTAAGGTGGTGGTGGAGATGGTGATGGTGGTGGTGGGGACTTATAATAGTATGGTGGAGGAGGGGATGGGGATGGTGGAGGTGGGGACTTGTAATAATATGGAGGTGGTGGCGAGTTGTACTTGTAAATCGGTGAGGGATAATGGACCGGGGGAGGAGGTGAGTTGTACTTGTAAACTGGTGGAGGTGGTGAGTTGTACTTGTAAACCGGTGATGGGGGTGGAGGTGATTTGTAGTAATATGGGGGAGAATCATGATGGACTGGTGGAGGTGGTGAGTTGTATTTGTAAACTGGAGAGGGAGGTGGAGGTGACTTGTAGTAATATGGAGGAGAATAATAATGAACTGGGGGAGGTGGTGAGTTATACTTGTAAACTGGTGGAGGTGGTGAGTTATACTTGTAAACCGGTGAGGGGGGTGGAGGTGACTTGTAGTAATATGGGGGAGAATCATGATGGACTGGGGGAGGTGGTGAGTTGTACTTGTAAACCGGTGAGGGATAATGGACCGGAGGAGGAGGCGACTTATACTTGTAAACCGGTGGAGGTGGAGAGTTGTACTTGTAAACCGGTGAGGGGGGTGGAGGTGACTTGTAGTAATATGGGGGTGAATCATGATGGACCGGTGGAGGTGGTGAGTTGTATTTGTAAACCGGAGAGGGAGGTGGAGGTGACTTGTAGGAATATGGAGGAGAATAATAATGGACTGGGGGAGGTGGTGAGTTGTACTTGTAAATTGGTGAGGGATAATGGACCGGGGGAGGTGGTGACTTATACTTGTAAACTGGTGGAGGTGGTGAGTTGTACTTGTAAACCGGTGAGGGATAATGGACTGGGGGAGGAGGCGACTTGTACTTGTAAACCGGTGGAGGTGGTGAGTTGTACTTGTAAACCGGTGAGGGAGGTGGAGGGGATTTGTAGTAGTAAGGAGTTGGTGGCGATTTCACAGGAGGAGGTGGTGATTTGTAGTAATATGGAGGTGAATAATAATGGACTGGAGGAGGTGGCGATTTGTACTTGTAAACTGGTGTGGGTGGTGGAGGTGATTTGTAGTAGTATGGAGTTGGTGATGGCTTGGGCTTCTCACATTCTTTAAAATGTTTCTTTGAAGCATAAGCAAATGGCTTAGCCTTAAGCACAACCTCATACTTGTCTTTGGAATACAAGTACAATTTAGTTCCTTCGTTTAGCTTAGTAGGTATGTTAAAGGGGGAGCCTTTAGGTGGAGCATAAAGGGCTGCCTTGCACACTGTGGCACCATATTTGACATAGTCAAAGTCCTCAACTGTGATGCTGTACTTTCCATTGATCTTAGTTTTACCATAAGCCTTAATGATTTTGCTCCCAGCTTTGCATGTCACCTCAACAACAGCACCTGCCCCAAAAGAAAATTCGTTAGTAAAATATGAAAACCCTTGTAATATTGGACAATATTATTAAAATAGCAGAATGTTAAACAATACTTGTCAAAATTAATTTTATGAGGCTGGATCTTAGTAACTTATGTTTTGTATTATGTGTAGAAATTAAGTTACATTTTAGATTTGATTATCTATGGATATATATCATAAAACAAAACAGATTGTATTTTATTTTCTTCAAAAACATTAATGATCAAAACTATAGTAGTGTTGTATTAATTAAAATTAAATTAAAATATAAATAAAAAATTTAAGAGAAAATTAGTTAAGAATACTCTAAACTCATTACTCTAAAGAAATCTAATCTTTAGTAATGTAATGTACCTTTGAGATGTTTCTTGTCATGAGATTTTTCAGGATACTCCCAGTCATAACACCTGAAGCTGTAGACTTTACCGATTACCTTCACAATCAATGAGTGGTGGTATGGATGTGGGTGAGGATACGCAACAGGCGGAGGAGGAGAGTTATAATAGTAAGGTGGGGGAAGGACCTTGGGTGGTGGGGGAGACTTGTAGTAGTATGGGGTATGAGGAGTAGGAGATGGAGGGGGAGGAGATTTGTAGTAGTATGGCGGTGGTGGAGATGGTGAAGGTGGTGGGGGAGATTTGTAGTAGTAGGGTGGTGGAGGAGATGGTGTAGGTGGTGGTGGGGACTTGTAATAGTATGGTGGATCCTTGTGTATATATGGTGGTGGAGGAGACTTGTAGTAGTATGGTGGGGGAGGGGAGGGTGAGGGTGGTGGGGGAGATTTGTAGTAATATGGAGGTGGTGGTGAGGGAGAAGGTGGTGGTGGAGACTTGTAATAGTATGGTGGGGGAGGTGAAGGTGAGGGTGGTGGAGGAGATTTGTAGTAGTATGGAGGTGGAGGCGAGGGAGAGGGTGGTGGAGGACTTTTGTAATAGTATGGTGGTGGGGGTGATGGAGATGGAGGAGGTGGTGACTTGTACACATATGGTGGAGCCTTGTGTTCATATGGTGGTGGAGGTGGTGACTTGTACACATAAGGAGGTGGTGGTGATGGAGACGGGGGAGGTGGTGACTTGTACTCATATGATGGAGCCTTGTGTTCATATGGTGGTGGTGGTGGAGACTTGTAAACGTATGGAGGAGGTGGTGATGGGGATGGTGGAGGTGGTGACATGTACACATAAGGAGGAGGTGGTGATGGGGATGGTGGAGGTGGTGATTTGTACACATAAGATGGAGCTTTGTGCTCATATGGTGGAGGAGGTGGTGACTTGTACACATATGGTGGTGGTGGTGAAGGTGACGGTGGTGGTGGTGACTTATACTCATAAGGTGGTGGAGGTGAAGAGTAAACATAACTATCTGCTGCAGCAGAAACAACAGTAGTAGAAATGAAAAGAATGGCCAATGCCATTGCCATTGGGGGCCAGTTATGACCCCTTTTGGGGCTACTGGCCATAGCAGTCATGAGTAGAAAGAAAAAACTTGATAACTCCAATTCTTAAGTTTTTGGATATCCTCACAAATATTCTTAGAAAAAGAGGAAGAGATAGAAAGAAAGAAGATGTTTTGGTGTTAGTGATTACTGTGAAAAGCAGAAAGAAAGACCAAGTATTTATAACATGTTTGAATCGTTAAGGTGTAGCCATCATGCAGGACCAATTCAAATATTCAATTGGTTTCTTTTAGATATTATTTACATTAGTTTATATTTCCCAGCTGGCCACTTCTCTCCCATTACTTATTCTTACTCCAAATGGTTTAGAATCAGTCACTATTTGAATTTCCCAACTACTTATTAAAATATATATCAATCTCTTGACAAAAAAGAATGATTATTAGAGAAGGTAAGGTAATGTACTATGTCCTATTTCTCTGTCATTTCCTCCTAGTAGCAGCCCTGCTAAGTCGCCTCTCTTGACAAAAGTAATTCCAAATTGCCTTTTGCATTTGTTTTCATTTCATATAGTTTTTTAGGGAAGAAAAAGTGAATATAATGTATTTTCAGTATAATGTACTTGATTGTAGCTATTGTAAGATTGTAAGATTTGGTTCGACCAATCGATTCCATTTCTCTTTTTGTAGAGTATGAAGAGATACATATTTGATTTTTTACTATTTCTTGTGATCTTTTTGAACATAACCTTTTGGTGGTTTGTGATAAAGAATAATTCAAATTTACATTATATTTTTTACATTATGTCCACTTGTTTAAGGGGTTATGAATTAAGAATGAATAATACTAAGAAGAGATTAATTACTATACACGGTTGGTGTAAAAAGTATAAAACCGTCGATTTATCACCATCATCCGTTTGTCTTATTTTATAAATAATTAAAATAAAAGTCAAACTCTTCTAAATATTTAATGACAATGTATTTCAATTAAATTCTACTAACAATATACTTTTTAACATTTTTTTCATTAGTTAAAATTTTTAGACAATCAGATTTAAGTGGACCTCACATAATTTGTTGGGGTTTATACAAATTTGAACCGAAGAGGACAAGTTTATCTCCATTTTACTCCAGGCCACCTTTTATTACTTTTACTTTTTTTTGCTATACTTTTAAAAAAAAAATAATTTTCATAGCTAATAATTGTATTAACATGTGACATATGATGTTGTCAACACCCGGAAATTATGCAATAAAGCTATTAACATTTTGCATCTTTTGAGAGAGAAAAGTAAGCAAATATCTAGATCAATTTCAAAATTAATCATCAAGTTATTTTTCGATCTTGAATTTTTGTTGTCTTTTTACTAATGGAGCTTATATTTTGCTCATTGGAGAAGTGAGTGGCATCAAATTCTTGGAATAAAAAATTAATGTCTACAAATGTAGATTGGCGAACTCAATAGTGAGATTCATTTAAAGTAGTTTGTGTATATTTGGTTTTGTATAGAGGAAAATTGGTTTACAATACATCAACTTTAAGTTAAGTATAAGTTTAATACAAAATCATTTATTTTTGAGTATATTCATTTATAGTTGAAACGAAGGCTAAAAATTCTAACTTAGTTTGAATCAATTGTAACGCAAAATGAATGATAACATTTTTTTAAATGTATTTAAAATCACTTTGACTCTCTCCACCTTAACATCATAACACACAGACATGTTTCTCTGTTTGAATATAGAAAATTTCTGAATATTTCCCAAACGGCTATATTTGTCCATTGCATCAAATTTTATACATTTAAGTATCGGCATTTATTTTTGAAAAGATTTAAGATCGGCATTGTCTCATATTGTATCAAGATGCAGTTATTTCAGTATCAAGTGAACAGAGAATCAAACATCTCAAAATTATAGTAATATTATGAACAATTGTTGTACTAATTATATTTCTTATGTAAGATTCGTTTTTCTTGTTAAATTCAAGATAATTAATGTGTGTAATGAATTACTATTACGAAGGCTAAGCTAAGCCCCCGTTGCAAAATAAAATATATACTGTTCTGATTTTAACTGTATAATTTCTGATGAATTTCAGGGGATTAAAATAAAAACAGAAGTAGTTGTAATATATTTTTTTCCCTCGTTGCATAGGTTTCAGCAACTGATCAATGTCGTCTTGTAACGTAAAACTATGGAATCAATAAATGAAAGTAACGTGCATGCTACCGTTATGAAATTGGGTTTTGTGATGTTGGATAATGCACACTAAATAACTATCTTTTGACAGATTTTAATATTATTATTACTATTTTATATTTACTTCGTCCCACAACGTGTTATCTAGTTCATTATTTTAAATAAATTAAAAAAATAAATAAAATAAAAGAGAGAATAATATAATTTTATTAAAGTATTTTTGTTATGTATTAATTGTTGGTGCAAAGATAGAATAAATGATGAAATAGGAAATATTACTAATAAGAGAATGACGGCTACAAAACATGATATTAGGTTACAATGATTGTCACCCTATTTATAAGCTAAAACTAGGGTTACTAGAATAGGATAAATACTAAAATACCCTCTAACAAACTTATGGGCTAAGAAAATAGTACAACTAAATAAATATGAATTATCATTAATATTCTAATACCATCCCTTAATTCATATTCCATCAAAACTTGTAACACCAATTCCATCCCTTAATCTGAGAAATTGATCAGTCTTGATAGCTTTCGTCAGAACATCTGCCAACTGCTTCTGAGTGCTGCAGTGTACAACTTCTAACACTCCACTCTGAACTTGATGTCTCAGAAAATGATACTTGGTCTCAATATGCTTGCTTCTCCCATGCAGCACTGGGTTTCTGGCAAGGTTGATTGCAGACTTGTTGTCAATCATCAACTTCAGAGGTTTGTCTACCTTAATCTTCAGATCCTGCAACAGATTCAGAATCCACACAGCTTGGCATGCAGTAACAGCACCTGCAATGTATTCAGCTTCACAGGTTGACAACGCCACAACAGGTTGCTTCTTGGAACACCAAGAAATGGGACCTCCCAGAAATTTGAACAAGTACCCAGATGTACTTCTTCTGTCAACTCTGTCTCCACACCAATCAGAGTTTGAATAACTCAGAAGTTCTGACTCATTATTTCCTCCAGAGGGAAATAACACTCCATACTTCAGAGTTCCTTTGATATACCTCAGAATCCTGACAGCAGCTTGGTAATGGGACCACTTAGGTTTACTCATGAACCTACTAACCATCCCAACTGAGTAGCAAATATCAGGTCTGGTATTGCACAGATACCTCAGAGAACCAACCAACTGTTTGAAGGTTGTAGCATCCACATCCTTTCCTTCAGAGTCTGAATCCAGTTTCTGATTTGTATCAGAAGGTGTGACAGCCATCTTACAATTCTTCAGATCAAATCTCTTCAGAAGTTCTAATTCATACTTGAGCTGATGCAAAATGATACCTTTCTCAGAATATCTGAACTCCATCCCTAGAAAGTATGTCATTTTGCCTAGATCAGTCATTTCAAATTCATTCATTAGAACCTTCTTGAACTTGGCTATCTCATGTTCAGAACTTCCAGTCAATAGTATATCATCAACATATAAACATACCAGAGTCATATTGCCTTCAGAAGTATGCTGAACATAGACACCGTACTCCATCTCACATTTCTGAAAGCCTTGTTTCTTGAAAAATGAATCAATCTTCTGATTCCAAGCTCTGGGCGCTTGTTTCAGTCCATATAGAGCTTTGTATAATCTGTACACCATCCCTTCCTGATTCTTTTTCACAAATCCAGGAGGTTGTGACACGTAAACTTCTTCTTCTAATGGACCATTCAGAAATGCAGATTTTACATCTAAATGCATCAGAGGCCAATTCCTGTTAGCAGCTATTGCAATCACCATTCTGATTGTTTCATGTCTTGCTACAGGTGCAAACACTTCAGAGTAATCCAGCCCAGGTTTCTGTAGAAATCCTCTGGCTACCAACCTTGCTTTATGTTTGCCAATTGAACCATCTGGCTTTAACTTCTGCTTGAAAACCCATCTGACGCTGATGGCTTTCTTGTCTTTTGGAAGTTCTGTCAGCTTCCAAGTCTTGTTTCTCTCTATAGCATCAAGTTCTTCTTTCATGGCCTTCAGCCAGAGCTTCTGCTTAAGAGCCTCCTCTGTACTTATAGGTTCAGAGTCTACTAACATGGCACACTGAATAACTTCTCCTTCAGAGTCTACTTCAGTGTCTTGCAGCATGTCAAATTCTGCAAATCTTCTGGGAACGCTTCTGATTCTTTGTGGTCTCTGAACTTGTTCAGAGTCTTGAGCTTCAGAGTTTCTAGTTTCAGATGATTGACCTCCAGAGCTTTGACCATCTTCAGAGTCTGGCATATTTCCAGAGTCTGAATTGCCACCAAGATCTGGATTGCCATCAGAGTCTGAATCATCAGAGTCTGGGTCATCAGAGTCACCTTCATCTTCTGAGTCATCTTCAGAGTTTGAATCAGTATCAGAGTCAGAGTCAACGTCAGGGTTTACTTCAACTTCAGAAATTCTTAACTCTGGCCTTTCTTCAGAGGTTCTAACATCAGAATCAGATTGAGACTTATCCCAATTCCAAACTTCTGATTCCTTCACAATCACATCTCTGCTGAATTCAATTTTATTGGTTTCTGGACAATAGAGCTTGTATGCACCTGTACTGTGGTACCCTATCAGAATCATCACTTTGCTTCTATCATCCAGCTTCTGTCTTCTGGCTTCTGGAACATGTTTATAGCAAACAGAACCAAATACCTTCAGATGACTAACACTTTGCTTGTCTCCAGTCCACTTCTGCATAGGAACTATTTCCTTCAACTTCTTCGTAGGACATCTGTTGAGTACATACGTTGCAGTGGCAACAGCTTCTCCCCAGAGCTTCTGAGGAAGCTTCTTCTCCTTTAGCATGCTTCTCACCATATCAAGCAAAGTACGGTTTCTTCTTTCAGCAAGACCATTGTGTTGAGGGGTATAAGGAGCAGTAACCTCATGCTCAATTCCATT